AATGGCGTTTTGTAGATATTTCTCCATGTATTATCATTATAATCAAAATAATTACTCCATTTCTTTCTACCAGTTGACAGTGTATCATTTTTACAAACCAAACTATAAAAGTCTTTTGTACCTTTTCTATTTCTTAGAAATATTTGTATATTACTAGGTACATAAGGATAGCTTATACATTTTATTTCATTTTGTTGAGAGAGATGTCTTTTAATTGTAGATAGCAGACCTTGGTACTGAAGAAAATTTGTTTCAATTTTAAATATTTGTCTAACTTCTTGTAAAGTATAAAACAATTTTGAATTAGTATCCTTAAGTAGGTCATTCACTATAACTTCACAATAAATACGTAGACATCATTCCTGGAAATAATTGAAAGGTAACAGGGCCAATTTCTGCAGTTGATTATTATTGAATGTATGATGATTGAATGGTAATGTGTAAGAATAATAATTTTAATGAAATTTGATATATTTGCATCGAAATAAGAAAACAATACAAAAAATTACAACACAAAACATTTATGTAAATAATTTACAACCCTGAGCCTTGTGTGAAATGCCGAACAACTGTCTGTCTGCAGTGCCTAACACCTATTCAGACCTTTGCTAGTGTCCCTCTGAGTCGACAGGTAACTTGTGATTTTAGAACAATGGATTGTCCAAAGAGTCCTGTCATTATGCCTTGTAATTTCAAAACACTCTTTCTTGTTGGCTTCATGTTAAAATGTATAATGTTCTACACTAACACTGACTACTACTTAACCATTCACTGTGAAAAATCACATTTCTTAAAACACTCTCAACACTCAAGAATGGATTCTAACATTTTGTACAACTAAAGTGTATACTCATGATAATATAAACGTTTCAAACTTGCAGTTATACGGAACAGGTGTACGGAGTGCATTCATGTTTATAAAATGTATATATAGTATAATAATAAGTATTTTAGAAGCCCAACGTTAATGTTACTTACTCACTCTTTTGTTTATTGTAAAAAAGAAATGTGTAAAGGTAATTAATTACATTACTATAACCATTTAATGATAATGGTAATGCTACTTTCCCAATGTAATGTGTAATCTAATTAATTACATTACCAATGCAATGGCCCCATGCTTACTAAGCATATATATATGACATTAAGATTGTAGTATGAACCTCTGTAAGTATATACGTAGGGGTATACACATTTCTGTTGTTTCCAGACTCTCTGTTATTGCAGATTTTGTTTCTGCATTAACATTCTGATTGTCTTTCATTCTTTCATTCAAAGTGTTTTTGTGCAGTTGTTGGTTATAACTAAGAATATATAATATTAAGATATAGTTATGTTCAGTGTTATCGTCAATTTATACCTGGGTGTCAAGTTTTAAGTACATTTCCTGGATAAATATGAACCACTGTTTACCTGCAAATTTTCCTCACAGTTTAACTTTAACTTTTTCTATACTCTATAATGAGGACAGATTTATGATTACAAAACATATTAGGTGAAGAGCACCCCACATATAGTAATAACATGCGATGGATGAAACTCAAACAAGGTGAATATTTGACAGGCGAAAGTTCCTTACTTTACAGTATCGAAACGAGGATAGATCCTAATGAAGTTTTGAAAAACTCATTAAAGGACCCTTTTATAAGAGTGGAGTATTTATAAACTCCGATTATGAAAATGTGAGCTTGGGAATATTTCTGCTCTTGTTGACTTGCCTCCTTACTTCTTTCTAATCCCTAAGAAACTTGTCCACATGATAAATTTCATTTTTATTCTGTGCTACGGAGTCATTCGAGACACACAAATACAGAATGTACCATGCTTTTTGATGGTTTGTAATAAAGGAGGTGCACATTTATTTATTGATAATGAATAGTCCCAGGTTGACTACGATGTTCCTCCGCAGTTGACAAACCTATAAAGTACGGTAAACCTTATAAGTACCAAAGATCGAGTGTCAAAATAAGCAATGGGCGATAAATCTTCAAAAAAATGTCGAATCAAAATGCTTACATGGAAAACACAACTTGTTGACATCATTATCAAGTCTACAAAGTTTCAAGAAGAAACGGACCACACCCATGTAAGTTTCTATTTATCTAACATAGACCAAAAACTCAATGACGTCATGAAACCTATCCCACTGGCTTGTATCTTATCATCTATATACTACTTTATGCAAAAAGAGCGTCTGCACGATCGCGAGCCAGGTGCCATATCGAACCGGAAATAGTCTTTCACAAACAAATCAATATAAGCAAAATATATTGTGAGGATAACAATACCATTTTAAGCGTAAATGTGCATATGGGAAAGCAAGTGAGGATAATGTTGCTTTAACCCTTCCGCTACCTCAGTGAAAACCATGATTTCTAGTCAGGCCAAGACTTTTGTTAACGTAATACATACTGATATGACGTACATAATACATTTTATGTAATATCAAAACTGGTTAAGTACTACTTTGGCATGCATAAACATGACCAATGCACAATTTCACATGATCATAAAGATTTGATAATCGATGTGTATCATGGTTAAATACCGAAACATTTTCTGTTTTGTTTTTGTTTTTTGTTTGTTTTTTAAATCAAAGGTATCATTTGTCGGTTGTCATATTTTGTTTGGAATTCCTGATGTTGAAAAATAGTATTGGTCTTACTATTGTAATGACATAAATCGCGCCATTCTGCACAAGTCTGTCTCCACCTAGGGGATGACAAGCTGATCTTTTCCGGCTTAAAAGGGAGACAAACATGTGAAGGATGGGAGAGAAAAAAAATCTCTTACCCTGGACGGGTGTATCAACACTTTTCTCGGTGTGAGATATCCTCGTCTCACGGTAGGGTTAAGAAGTGGAAATCCTCTATTCATTTCAATTGTATGACGCCACATCAACAATGCATCAGCGTCACGTCAACCCTGCATTTAGCCTGTAAAGTAAACAGTACATTATGTGGTCTATATGATATGCAATGGGTGAACAGGGTACTTGTAAGAGAAAAAGAATCAGTCACCTCTTTACGGGTGAGATAGTGAAATCTCAACCCTCGGGGGAAAATTCATAAGTTGCCAAACACTCGGCAAAGCTTCGTGTTTGGCAACTTAAGAATCTTCCCCTCGGGTTGAGATTTCCCTATCCACAAGGGGGTGGGAGATTCTATTATTCTCACGACAAACCCTGAATGCAGTGTGAAACTCGATGATGTCGTGAAAACTAGCCCGCCGGCTAGATATCATACTCCGACGTGGACCGAAAAGTGGCCATGGACCGAAAAGTGGATCACGTCGTGAAAACTAGCACACGAGATCGGATTATCTCAGTCGAGGTGTTATAGAATCTTAGCCCGAGACTGAAATAACCGGATCTCGCTCAGTTATAGGTATAGTTTTATTTTCCTTGCACCTTTTAGTTTGAAAAAAAATATTTTGCAAAAGACTTCAAGTATCCCGTCTGGGGTCTCACATAAATATGGCCTCAACACTACTAAAGCTTTCTTACATTGAAGACAATTTATTTCACAGTGTAGACTATATTTTATCTGCAACATCAGATATCTGACAACATCAAAACAATACTTATAACGACAAAAGAGAATATTTATACTGCTTGTTGTCAATTTAGAGCCGTTATCGCTCGAATGAATGCATCGCTGTGTAAAATCTTTTTGAGAAATGTCACGTACAGGTACGACCGAGTGACAAATGACCGAGTGGAACACTTTACCGGATGCCTTCGGCACGGTATTACAGTGAGATAAAACTTTAATATCGGCGTCAGATCCGCGCTATCATAAAGAGGTAAACACGCTGGCATACTGACCACAGTATTCACGAATCCATTACACACCACTAGAGACACGTTCTTAAATGACTGAAGTTATTAATATAACTAAATCAGATGATATTATAATGTTCAGGTGTGTTCTAGAAGACATCGAAGTAGGTTTTTTTGTGAAATTATGTTAAAACTGCATTTTTTTTAGTTCAGGTGTTAGTCTCAAATGCAAATGATCATTATTGTCTCTGATTGGACAATTACGGAAAATATTAAAACAACAGCTTTGTTAATACGGATTATAATTATCACTCCGCATATAATTGGTCATGATGTTTTTAATAAACATTAAATTTGCTTAGACAGTTGACAGCAGTCCAAAACATTTTAAGCAAGCTATTTCTACATTACTGATGCCTTCGGCACGGTATTTCAGTGAGATAAAACTTTAATGTCGGCGTCAGATCCGCGCTATCATAAGGAGGTAAACACGCTGGCATATTGCCTGCAGTATTTACGAATCCATTACACACCACTAGAGACACGTCCTCGAATGACTGAAGCTGTTAATGTGGCGCGAAACTCAATAAAACCAAATCACACCAGATGATACTCTTATGTTCAGCTGTGTTCTAGAAGACATCCAAATGGTGTTTTTTTTTTGTGAAATGATGTCTAAAATGCATTTTGATTTCGTTCAGTATTAGTTTCAAATGCAAATAATCATTATTACCTCTGATTGGATAATTTCGGAAAATATTAAAACAATAGCTTTGTTATTCTGGATAATGATTATCACTGCACATATCGTTGGTCATTATGTTATTAATAAACATTAAACCTTCTTGCTATTGCTAAATTTCAAGCGACTGTTAGATAGAAATATTCATTGAAAAATAATTCTTTCCATGTAAATTGTAATTTTATCACCAAATTAAGAAAACTGCCATTTTTAATGACCTCTATTCTCAATTTCAGAATGTGACCAGATGGTACCATTTTTGTCATTCCGACTTTCAAAAATATCTAAGATAGTGTCATTCACGTGTATGTACTTTCAATAAACACATTTTTGGATATAAAAGAAGATACTAGTCTTATGCTCCACGTGAAGAATGACCTGTGATGTCATTTTCGGTGTAGCACGAGTCAAGATAACCTTTAACATTTTTTTATCTAATTTGTGTCTCAGTCCATTTTAAACCAAGACTGTGGAATATATAACAATAGACACGATTGTTTCCAACAAAATGTTGTTTACTTGTTCTATAGTGGCGCTGTTTCTTACAGCCATTTCCGTCACCAACGGATCAGACGACAAGCGTATACTCCTCAGTGATCCACAGTATATCCAACAGGAACTGACGAGATTCCAGGCCGAATTACAGGAGATACAGGTCAAGTACAACACACAGAACACCAAACTAACTAATCTACAGGTAAAGTACAGCAGCCAGAATACCGAACTCAACAATCTACAAACAAAGTACAGCAGCCAGAATACCCAACTTGCGGACCTACAGACCAAGAACAGCATCCAGAATACCCAACTTGCGGACCTACAGACCAAAGACAGCAGCCAGAATACACAACTTGTAGACCTACAGACCAAGTACAACAGCCTGAATACCGAGCTCGCAAATCTGCAGACCAAGTTCAACAGCCAAAACACGGAACTCAAAAATCTACAGAGTAAGTACATTACCCTTTCGCCATCCTTTAACGCTAACGTAATGGCCTAACAGTCCAACGTTATAGCGAAGAAAGACGTTACAGACTAGACAAGGTTGATTAAGTTATATTCTCAATGAATACATAGGTATTTTATATATTATCGTTGCAGTTTAGCTCATTTAATAGTAACTTCTTATACATCATTGCTCCTCTATTATATATTGACAGGTGACAAAGGGGCTGTTGTTACAAGGTGGGGAAGACGAGACTGTCCTGCCAATATAACAACAAAAGTTTACTCTGGTAAGCATGATAAAACCTCTCATTCCCACTGGCCTAAGATATGGTAATCTAAATCCAGGGATAGAAGACTCTAATGTTGCCAATTAAAGTCTTCACCCAAAGATTGAGATTCTCTTCCCACCTCAAGATGGTTAACAATTCTTTTTCTTTGACCCTGACGAATATATCCAATACAAAATGCAATGTTGAGGTAAACGACTCAATGCCCTTTTGATATGACGTGATATTTGTTGACGTGACGTCACACACTTGTATAATACTGGGGGATCCCCCGTTTCAACCGTAGGGTTGCCTAGGGTGAGACAAGGATATCTCACAGCCGATAAAGTGTATATACACCATTCAAGGGTAGGAGACCTTTTAATATTCTACTGTAATTCGAGATACTTACATGTAGGTATTAATTAAGAAATCATCAACGTGTACGTGCATTTTGGTGGAAAATACAATAGGTGTGTGGAAATGTTGGTGGAAAATAATTAACGAATACAGCTTTCGGCTTGAGTTGACAGTTTCCCAACATTTGTGAATCTCGGGTTATTCTTTCCACCATAGGATACACTCATTTGTTGATTTTATCTATATTCTATCAAATAAAATGTAATCGAGTTTGTTTTGTCTACCTCAGTGATCATACACATATGATGAGCATGTTGACATAGATAATAATATGAAAGAACAAGGCCTTAAAAGAGCGTTACTTTTGTTGATCTCTGATATATTTACTTATTCGATCAGAATAAGTAAATACTGATTTAAGTCCGTTCTGGGAAGTATGGCAGGACGTTCGTTTTTTGAAGAATAATTGAACTTTTCCTGTCTGAAGATTGGATGTCGTTATAGCGATATATAGTCTCAATATCTTTCCATCCTGAACACCGGGTTGGATTTCAAATTTTGTTACAGTCAACGAGGTTTGACAGGTAAGGATGCCAAATAAAATTAAACAGTTTCTGGATGTAACTAGTTATAAATCGGCACGCGGTGTAAAACAGTAATACGTTGCTGAAAATGGCGTTAAACTCGTGTTGGTGGTCTGGAAAATCAATGTTGATTTCAATATAAATACATTATCAATTGTTTATTTTATGAGTGGTGATGCATAAATACATTATGTAAAGACTATAAAAAGACTTCAAATACATTAAATTTTAGTTATATCGTTCGATGGAATATGACGTGACTGTGACGGCATAGTATGATAATCTCTGAACGAAGATTCATGCACGTTAGTATTCACGCAAACTGATATAATAAGTATGGTCCTTAAGTCGTAAGAAATAATTTTTGTGATTTTTATGATTTCGAAATCTACATTCCTGGTCAAAACGATATAAAAATTATGTCAATATTTGACGATTTGACGCCACTTTTAAAGAGTATGCTATATGACGTTGCTCATATCATTATTTCCGACGTTACTGCTAAGAATGATACATGTACAAACGTAACCGGCGGGTAACATATGTATAGTAATTTTAACTGCTAATTTCTGGCTTCACTCCAGAGGTTTAAGCATGATTTAAAGAGACATTCTATAGCATTGAAATGGAAATAATTAGATATATTATTAAGTCATTCACAAATATCGAAATGTAAAACAAATAGGTTCCATATGACCATGGGACAAATTATTCTTTTGTACTTTTAAACTTTATAGTCTCGCATTTGTAGTTTCCTTCCGGTTATAGCTGTGACAAAAATGTGTTTACAGCAAGTTTTGGAATGACCGTACATGAAATTAAGTTGTGCGAGTTTTGGAATGACCGTGCATGAAATTAAGTGGTACGAGTTTTGACGTTGCAAGCGTGGTTACTGTCTTTAACGTCGCCACTTCGAATGTCAGTCAAGCCCGAGTTCAAAGAGTTTTTAATGGACTGAAGAGATTATTTCTTAGAATGCAACATAAGAAACAAATCCAGAAAATCAAATAGTCCTTTTTGAATATGCATGGCCTTCTGTGTTACGGATTAATCAACATTTTTATTTCTCTTAAGCGTATATCCTTGCGACAGTTTGGATAAAACTCATACAGGAATTAGATATAAATTTTATTTATTCTATAACAATTATAAAATATGTTATTTCAGCTTATATTGATCACATTTGTTGTCCTGGATTTTAGCGAGTAGGGCTCCTTACTGTGGCTGGAGAAAACCCACGTGGTCGGGCAGGTGACCCCATACCTTTTCATGTCCGATAGGGGACCCGAACCCCGGCCCCCTTGATGAAAGGCAAGTGCGCCATCCTTTTCACCGCCCGATCACCCAGTACAGTACAGAAATTACCTGTGTAATAAGTATTTGACTATTCTATTTCAGTTGGAAATTGGAGTATGTTTAGCCTCAGACTTTTCCCATGTAAATATTTAAGGTCGATGAAGTAATTTGTTCCAACAGTACCATTTTTCATTTATGGATAAACTATAAAATCTTACTGTGTCAATTTAGTGATTGTTTTTTTCAAAAAGTTGTTAAACATCGATTTCAGAAAATAAAACAGGCGTTTTAGTTCAAGCACAGAATACGTTATTCCTATTTTCAAAACTATGTTTATAAATTTTTGTAGATAATAAATAGCAAGTTCTGTTTTGTTCATTTTTCCATCATTTTATTAGCGAAGGAAAATTTTAATACTCATCGCCAAACACTACACATTTTAGCCTCACTTTCTACATCCAGTAAAAACTTTGACATGAAAAACCTAAACAACTTGTACAGCCACAGAAAGACAGTCCTTAGGCCAGTACAAATGGACTGAATAGAATAGTCACTGAAATGCACTATTAACCTAAGAAGTAGATTTCAAACACAGTATGTCATCATTCCTTTGTTTGGATAGATCACCAATATGAGCTCAATTACATCTAGAAGTAGGCAGGGAAGGTCCTTGGAAATATTTTTGTGGAAATAGCAGGCATATGTTGCCAACTTGGTGACAATTCTTTAGCCTCTAACCCCACTGTAAGCCCTATAGGAATGACTTTCCCTCTAATTACTAGTCAAACATCAGTCTCCTCCCCGTCAAGTGCAGGCTTCACCTTTAGCACCAATGAAATGACATTTAATTACATGTAGTATATATATATTAACAGAAAGTATATGCATTGAATAGCAATTGATATATTTCTGGTACATACAAGGTTTGATGATCATCTATGCAACACAATATACACAAATGTAAGGATTTATTGTGAAGTAAAAAAGTTTTATAAAAAGAATGCTTTCATTCTTTACACATTCATCGGACGTAAACAAACAACCTTGATCAATCAGAAATGATGCCCCCTCCTTCCCAAGGCACATACTCAAACAAAAGTTGTATTAACAAATTTAATACATGTATTTTGTCAGGATTGGAGATTGGGAAGCAATTCAAATGGTACATCCAAACAGTGTAAGAAAATTAAAGTCCAAAATAAAGTGTTTAAAGCAGAGACATATGTTTCGAACAACTAAATATTGTATTTATGAGGAATATATATCCCTGTTTTAAAGACAGATACAATGTATTGATCATTGGCAAAGCTAGCTAGGTCTTCTGTTTGCAAATTTAGTGGATTCACCTGCTATGTGTCTGCATACACATTATGCAGTTGAATTGTAGGTGTTTGGGGTGTATCTGCATTGGTAGAGTAATATAGATTATAGGCAGAATTTTAAAGTAAAGTAATTTGTTTTTAAATAATGGCACAGTGCATCAAATAAATAGGGTATCAATTTGGCAAGGCCGATACATAATTTCATAATTTCACAAATAAAATATTTCAAATTGAAATAATTCCAATATTTGAATAGTAATTATCCATGGAAAAAAATGATACATAGGCAAAACCACACATATGGGTGGTTTTGCTTTAATCACATGACTTAACCCTATCGTAGCCTTGGTAATTAGGAATTTTATCTGATACGACTAAATGCACATTTTATGTTTTTCCTCTTTTTGTCGTTTTCCATCGGCACACAGGTCGACGCAATGCCAGGATGGTTTTTATAAGAAACTTGTATTTTATTAAAAAAAATGGCATTCTCTTGGTGTTTTTTTATGATTATGTATTTTTTTATTTTTTATTTAATACATTCTTTGTATAATTAATGGGTTTTTTGGATAATTCTGAGATATAGAAAACAAATTCTTTAAAATAAAATCATTGCATGGCTTTAAAAAAAGTCATTGCATGGTTCACAGGACCTGTGAATGATTTGAGACTTTTTGAGACTGAACTGTACCTTTGGGTGTACAACATTTTAAATATTAATGGTTAAATACAAAATAACAAAGAATAATTCAAATGCAACACATTTAATGGCATAAAGTTACGTGTACTCATGTAAGTTTAAATGTCGGTCATTACAAATTCTCCCAAAGCCTCGCAACGTCACAGCACGCGCTGAGTCTGAGTGACGTCACGCGCCAAGGTCAGAAAACACAAGAAATCTAGATAAATTCTTCATCATATGAGTCAACAATTGGCAGTATTCGTCGGTATTTCGTTGGAAGTGATGACTGTGATGTTGTGCGCGACTGTGACGGTATTTAGAAGTTTATGTTGAATGTTCCACCTGTGATAGTTGCTCCGGAAAACATACCAGTGGCTAGATTTTTAACGTCTTTCTCGCAAATTGGCCTTGACCGGGACTTAAAGTAGTTCCGGCTACTGTGGTGATACAGGATCTTGTATCGCACATGTGTGATACAAGCAGACAGAAAACACATCTGACAAAATGATGTATTACTATCGTAAGATTGCATAGGCATGTGATAAATGTAATGATCAAATTGATTGACGGGAGCGTAATTGGATTATAATATTATAACATTTATAACTCAATTGTATTAGTCCTACGTATACTTACTGACACACTCAGGAGAATTACAGTTGGGCAGATATATAGGTGTCTCTGCCAGGAAAGTTCATAGGAAAAAAGTCATCTCTTCTACTTGTAACATATACGAATGTGGTCTCCCATTTCATCTGCATACCTGATAAAATAAGGAAAACAACTCTTCACACATAATAAAAAATAAAAATACTCGCACAAATAGGAAAATTTCTAAAAAAAATAATCTGATATGAGAGGTTAAGCCAGCACCCTGTGGTCATGCTTAAGAAAATGTGTCCTAACATTCTTGAGATAATGCTCGTTGATATCATTGAAGAACAGAAAATATGAATTGCCGATTGACTTGTTTTTAAACTGGAAGTGTACACAAGTTAGTCTGCACCCCTTGTTCCACACGCCTGAACCTGGCCAACATTTAGCACGATTACAAGCCGAAGAAACGGGACAGAAGTGACTGAACTAATCGTCCATCCTATTCTTTAAATTGGGTGGAAGATAGGCCTACTTGTCACAAGTTTAAACGCAGCCACCGTGTCTGTCAACTTCCGTAGCAAATGTAAACAATCTGACGGAAGTGTGCGGACCAGAAATCGGGGAAAATCCCTGGCGCTTCAATATTTATGTCGATTTAATTAATTATTGATATCTAAAGCGTATAATATTGTTAGAATAATGAAGAGATAGTCTTCTTGTTTCAGTAGATATATAAGTTGTATATGTTTTGGGAATAATAGAAGTAATATTTTACGTTCTTGTATAGCAAGTGAGATTTCCGTGTTCGCGCGAAACAGAAATAGAATATAGAAATATGATGTCAGTCGGAGTTCCTGTTTTTCCTGCTTTTCATTGGCTAAAGGTCAAGATTCACTTCCGGTTTTTCCACTGGATGGCTACTTCCGGACGAAAAAGATCAAGGGCAATGTGTAGCAAGGGGGGAGCAATTCTGTTTACGCGCGCATATGTTACCATTAAAGAGCTTCGCTCGGGCGCCTTCGGCGTAATAGAAACTGTAGTTCTGTGTCCGCTAGCAAATATTCAAATACAAGATGAAATTCGTGTATCCGTTTTCCTGCAGCTTGCTTGCCAACATAATAAATACATCAGTATGGTCTATCATCTATTAATACATGGCTATTCACCAATAAAAAAAGCCCGTGGACGGATATTAATTGAGCACTCTGAGCTACTTATATAGATAAAGAAGGTTATACCGTGCAGCTGTACCTTACTTATACTTTTTAATAAACTTGTAAAATTACTCTAAGGCGCTTTACAACATGGATAATAGTAAGGGTTATAACTGTGAAAACGAACAACAAAAGGCTTGCAATCACTTTCAAACATTTAACAAGCAATGTGCACATAATTGAACAAATAAAAGGGTGGTATTTACATGACGTCTTTGCAAAGATTCTAAAATGCAGACGTGAAGAGGTGAGTTTTTATGTCCCTTTTGAACTTGGCCAGGGTATTTGACTTCCTAATAGCAGATGGTAAGCTATTCCACAACGTAGCCGAAACCCTCCCAAAGCATCTGTTTCCGTAGGTCACAGTACGAGATTTTGGGACACACAACAAAGATTCCGACTCCGACCGCAGTGATCTTGACGGCTGATACAGGGTAACAAGTTCCTGTAGGTACTGAGGAGCTGTTCCATTCAGTGCCTTGTATGTGTATACCAGAATTTTGTACTGCGACCTGTATCGTACAGGTAACCAGTGCAACGAATAAAGCGCAGGTGTGATGTGCTCTCTCTTTCGAGTACGAGTAACTAGCCGTGCTGCAGTGTTCTGAACCCTCTGCAGACGACTAGTTAGTTTGTCAGATATACCACAGAGCAGGGCGTTACCATAATCCAACCGAGAGGTAACAAGTGAATGCACCAAAATCTTGCATGCATCTGCAGTTAGAAACTGCCGAATACAGCCGATGTTCCTGATCTGGTAGTAACAGGATTTGGCAATAGCGTTCACTTGTTTCTCCATGTTCAGAGAACTGTCAAAGTATACCCCTAGGTTTTTAACAGCTGGAACAGTCTCAATAGTTCTGGCACCAACCTTGAGCTGGAGAGCCATTGTTTGCTGACACTTTGGGGAAAAGACGATTAGTTCCGTCTTTTCCTGATTAAGTTTAAGCATGTTGGCGTTCATCCAGATACTGATATCTGTCAGACAAGCTTCCAGACTTTCTGAGACTGTATTCCAACTGTCCTGTGGTTTTATGACCATGTAAATTTGTGTGTCATCAGCATAGCAATGATAGCGAAGGCTATGGCGACGACAAATCTCTCCAATCGGTTTGGAGTACATACAATATTTTCGTGGTCCTAACACCGACCCTTGAGGAACCCCGAAATCTAGTACTTTGTCATGTGAGGTGGCAGATCCGATGGCAACACACTGTCGTCGTTCACTCAGGTATGACTGTATCCAGCATAGTGCGGTATCAGTCACTCCATAAGAGTATTCCAGACGTTTATAAAGTATGCCATGGTCGATGACGTCAAATACAGCTGACAAGTCCAGCATGACAAGCACCGCTCTGCACTTGTTATCCAATGCAGAAGCTATATATCACTATATACACGTAGGAGAACCGTCTCAGAATAGTATCCCATGCGGTAGGCCGATTGCATGTTGTCATGGAGACTGTTTGCATGGAGATGAACCTCTAAACGCCGGGACACAACCTTCTCCAAGATCTTAGACAGAAAAGGAGTTGACACTGGGTGGTAGTTTTTCAACTCCTCCTTGTCCATTCCTGGCTTTTTTAACAATGGTCTGACATGTGCCTTCTTGAAACATAATGGAACCTTTGACTCAACCAATGATTTGTTCATGATTGCGGTAATCAAAGGAAGCAGTGCTTCAAGACACTGCTTTAATAGGTCTGTAGGCAGTGGATCAAGCTCACATAACTTCGATTCCGAGGTCATGATAATGTTACGCAACTCGTCCTTGGTTGTTGGTGAGAGCTTTGTCAATGGTTCCCCATCAAATGCAATGTCAGCAGTCATGACCTTAGATCCTTTCAATGACGCTTTAGCCAAACGACCTACTTGGTCAACAGAAGATCATAAGCATAATTACGAAAAGCTGTATTCAACACAAAATTAGGATGCGGTTATTGTTTGTGGTATTCTCTAGTGTTTTTCTTAAACCCCTTAATACAAGTATGCCTCAGTATCTCTCTCGAAACTTGACATCTTTTGGATGTTTTCTTTGTCAATAGCAAACACCGGTGATACTTTTTCATGTGTAACATCATGAAGACATTATATTACCAAGTTAATTAGTAAATGCTTGATTATTTTAGGTTATGCTGGTGGATCGATGTTTACCTCTACTGGAGCCGCAGCGGAATACGTGTGTATGCCTAACGACCCTATCTGGGGACCTCACAAGGATCTGGTGAACGGCGATGGTGTTGGCTTTATCTACGGGGCAGAGTACGAGGAACCAGGGGCCCTGTTTGGTATGCCGGGTTATGTAGAGGATGTACCGTGCGCCGTCTGTCTTGGTACACAACACACCGCCTATCTTATGATTCCGGGTAGGACACAATGCTATCCAGGATGGACAGAAGTATATCAGGGCTACCTAGCGTCTGGTCACCATGGTCACGCGGCAGCGTCACAGTACGTCTGTGTTGATGGGGACGCTCAGGCAGTTCCCGGGGGTGGTACCCATAATGAAGACGGTAAACTGTTCTATGGTGTCAAAACTAAGTGTGGATCACTGCCCTGTCCACCGTATGAAGACGGAAAATTTCTTTCGTGTATTGTCTGTATGAAGTGAGCATGCTCTGTATACTTTTCAAGAAAATACAAATAAATTTGATTGACACACACAAAAAATATCTCTCTTGCTTGTCCCATTGTATTAGTTAATTTAAATAGTTTTATTGGAAAAAGGAGCCACTATTTGGAATCAGTTATTGAATTCTGGGTGATTATTTGTAATATATCTATATATAAGAAAGGAATATTTTTTAAGAGTATGGCACTGCCAACACTCAGAGCTGATGAGAAGACATCACTGTACGTCAACTCACTTAAATGAACTTATACTCAATGTTTTGCCATTTATACATTATATAGGTTTCCCGACATATAATATCCAAAAAGTGGCTCGTATCTGCAAGAAATTAGGCTGTCTGACTAACGACATTAGCAGTAAAACACTCAGTCGGGAAATGTGATAATAATAACGTCAACAAATAAAAAAAAAATAGTCCAACTATTAAATTATTAATTCGACACCGTCTCAGTACATGACAACTTTTTAAATATTGTATTGACACCTATCTTCAAATTAAATACGCCACGACACATAAGACTTTTTAAGAAATTGCAGACTTTCGAAAGTACATGTTTCTAAAAGACAGCTTATTTGATTAAAATAATGAACAGTGACTCGAAAACCCTTGATTGGTACAGCTATGTACGCGCATTAACGTGAGAGGAAAACGCACAGCAAAACTAGGATTCTGACCTGGAACATCCAAACTCTAGATGGACGTTCTAACCAGTAGAGCTTCCTGGTTACCGCCGATCGACCCGGTCCAGTTCCTCTTTAACGGGTTTTTCGACACCGAAAACACACGAGACCCTGTTCCATTTCCGGAGGCATCTTTAGTTGGTTGCCAGATATAACAGAAAATGAAAAATGCAACGACCAGACAGGGATTCGAATCCAAGATCACCGAATTTAAGACGGACCTCCTAACAAATTGAACTAAATGGTCACCGGCGATTAGCCCAGTCCAGTTACGCTAATTATTTCGGTTAATAATTTTCGGGTTCCAATCAATGTATAGCTATATTTATCCAGAAATATATTGGAAATAATTGCGAAATGGAAATATGCTCAATAATTTTCAAACTAATTCCCTGTGAGTTAAAAGCTCTGTTATGAAACAATTTTGGATAGATACGTAATGCAAGGAATGAATCAAGATCATCTAAATTAAGCTAGGTGTTCTGATTTCATAACCTCCAGAATTATATAAAATAATTTCTAATGTATCATTGGAGTCTGATGCTCAGTATTCGTATTTTATATGTGAAATCGTAATCAATAAAATGAATACATACAAGACTCATGTAGGTCAGTGATCGAGAAAAGAATACAGTTGATGTTACCCACACCATGTATTGTAAGAGGCGACTAAAATGGGAACCCCCTGAAGAATCTGGGATTTGCTTTTGTGCCCTCTACTTGGGGTACACAAAAAGCGACCAAAATAGTATGCTGCACCCGTTGCAATATTTTGAATATTTATCTATCTTTCTACTTCTACCTATCTTTTATTTCCTAGCGCCTTGCTCGGCAATACCTCACTTTTGGCTTTAATGTTAAACGAGCGCCCAAGTGAGGGAGGCAATGGGTTCTGTTTCCTGGCTCTAACATACCAAAGTCCTTAAAAATGGTGGTTGGTAATCCCTGCTTAACGTTATTTAGGGGAATGGGAATAACTGGTTTATCCGTTGTCTGTATAATGTTACCGGGCGGAATGCTGTGGTGGGTGCGGTGCATTCGGCATGGTATTTCAGGGGGAAAGCATTTTTAAGTCGGCACCAGATCCGCACTATCACAAGGAGGCTAGAGCACCAACATACCATGCCTGCTACACACACACACTTGTAACAACAAAGATGGAGGCACGTCCTTAAATGACATGAGCTGTTGATAGGACATTTAACAAAATAAAACCAAACGAATACCTAGAAATACAATATATTCTTATATGTTTCAATGCTCCCTAAATGTCGGAATATATTGCAGTATGAATTGACTTTCAGTACCTGTCACGTACATGTACATACACTCTCACGTATTATACATCAAAACATCACACATAATCTCTCACTCATACACACACACGTATAATACATCAAAACATCACACAAAATCTCTCACTCATACATACACACGTATGATACATCAAAACATCACACGTAATCTCTCACTCACACACACACGGATAATACATTAAAACATCACACGAAATCTCTCACTCATACACACACACATATATAATACATCAAAACATCACACATAATCTCTCACTCATACACACACATGTTTAATACAGAAAAAACATCATCCATAATCTCTCATTTATACATGTACACACGCATGCCTGTCGGCCCAAATATCCTAACATATAATTTACATTAAGACCTTCATCTGTGCATAACTGCATACCCAAACACTTTAAATCATGTCGATACGTAGATAGCTGTCATTGATATTGTCTACCGTATAGGTGAGAAGGTATATAGCTGTCATTGATATTGTCTACCGTATAGGTGAGTAGGTATATAGCTGTCATTGATATTGTCTACCGTATAGGTGAGAAGGTATATAGCTGTAATTGATATTGTCTACCGTATAGGTGAGTAGGTATATAGCTGTAATTGATATTGTCTACCGTATGGGTGAGTAGGTATATAGCTGTCATTGATATTGTCTACCATATAGGTGAGTAGGTAGATAGCTGTAATTGATATTGTCTACCGTATGGGTGAGTAGGTATATAACTGTCATTGATATTATCTACCGTATAGGTGAGAAGGTAGATAACTGTCATTGATATTTTCTACCGTATAGGGGAGCACGTATATAGCTGTCAATGATATTGTCTACCGTATAGGTGAGAAGGTAGATAACTGTCATTGATATTTTCTACCGTATCGGTGAGTACGTATATAGCTGTCAATGATGTTGTCTACCGTATAGGTGAGTAGGTAGACAATTGTCATTGATATTGTCTACCGTATGGTTGAGTAGGTATATAGCTGTTATTGATATTGTCTACCGTATAGGAGAGTAGGTAGATAACTGTCAATGATATTGCCTACCGTATAGGTGAGTAGGTATATATCTGTCATTGATATTGTCTATCGTATAGGGGAGAAGGTATATAGCTGTCATTGATATGGTCTACCGTATAGGTGAGAAGGTAGATAACTGTCATTGATATTTTCTACCGTATAGGTGAGTAGGTAGATAACTGGCATTGATATTGTCTACCGTATAGGTGTGTACGAATATAGCTGTCATTGATATTGCCTACCGTATAGGTGAGTAGGTATATATCTGTCATTGATATTGTCTACCGTATGGTTGAGTAGGGATATAGCTGTCATTGATATTGTCTACCATATAGGTGAGTAGGTATCTAGCTGTCATTGATATTGTCTACCATATAGGTGAGTAGGTATCTAGCTGTCATTGATATTGTCTACCATATAGGTGAGTAGGTAGTTAGCTGTCATTGATATTGTCTATCGTATAGGTGAGTAGGTATATAACTGTCTTTGATATTGTCTACCGTATAGGTGTGTACGAATATAGCTGTCATTGATATTGCCTACCTTATAGGTGAGTAGATATATAGCTGTCATTGATATTGCCTACCGTATAGGTGAGTAGGTATATAGATGTAATTGATATTGTCTACCGTATGGGTGAGTAAGTATATAGCTGTCATTGATATTGCCTACCTTATAGGTGAGTAGATATATAGCTGTCATTGATATTGCCTACCGTATAGGTGAGTAGGTATATATCTGTCATTGATATTGTCTATCGTATAGGTGAGTAGGTATATAACTGTCATTGATATTGTCTACCGAATAGGTGAGTAGGTAGATAACTGTCATTGATATTTTCTACCGTATAGGTGAGTAGGTAGACAATTGTCATTGATATTGTCTACCGTATGGTTGAGTAGGTATATAGCTGTTATTGATATTGTCTACCATATAGGTGACTAGGTAGATAGCTGTCATTGATATTGTCTATCGTATAGGTGAGTAGGTATATAACTGTCTTTGATATTGTCTACCGTATAGGTGGGTAGGTATATAGCTGTCATTGATATGGTCTACCATATAGGTGAGAAGGTATATAGCTGACATTGAGATTGTCTACCGTATAGGTGAGTAGTTTGATAACTGTCAATGATATTGCCTACCGTATAGGTGAGTAGGTATATAGATGTCATTGATATTGTCTACCGTATGGTTGAGTAGGTATATAGCTGTTATTGATATTGTCTACCATATAGGTGAGTAGGTAGTTAGCTGTCATTGATATTGTCTATCGTATAGGTGAGTAGGTATATAACTGTCATTGATATTATCTACCGTATAGGTGAGAAGGTAGATAACTGTCATTGATATTTTCTACCGTATAGGTGAGTAGGTAGACAATTGTCATTGATATTGTCTACCGTATGGTTGAGTAGGTATATAGCTGTTATTGATATTGTCTACCGTATAGGTGTGTACGAATATAGCTGTCATTGATATTGCCTACCTTATAGGTGAGTAGATATATAGCTGTTATTGATATTGTCTACCGTATAGGAGAGTAGGTAGATAACTGTCAATGATATTGCCTACCGTATAGGTGAGTAGGTATATATCTGTCATTGATATTGTCTATCGTATAGGTGAGTAGGTATATAACTGTCTTTGATATTGTCTACCGTATAGGTGAGAAGGAATATAGCTGTCATTGATATTGTCTACCATATAGGTGAGTAGGTATCTAGCTGTCATTGCTATTGTCTACCGTAGAGGTGAGTAGGTAGATAACTGTCATTGATATTTTCTACCGTATCGGTGAGTACGTATATAGCTGTCAATGATATTGTCTACCGTATAGGTGAGAAGGCAGATAGCTGTCATTGATATTGTCTATCGTATAGGTGAGTAGGTATATAACTGTCGTTGATATTGTCTACCGTATAGGTGGGTAGGTATATAGCTGTCATTGATGTTGTCTACCGTATAGGTGAGTAGTTTGATAACTGTCAATGATATTGC